TTGACAATTTTTTTAAATAGTAACCCCAATTTTTTTTTCTTGATTTTGTTAGATCTTGCAATTTCCTACTCAGAAACATAATATTTGAAATATCTTACATAACAATTTTTTTTGAATAAAAGTCATTTAAAGATCAGACATAAATTTTATTTTATTTTAAGAACCCAATAAATGAATAAAAGATAATTATTTGTAATTAAGTGCTTAATTAAACAAAATAATAATATTATTAATAATAATAATAATAATAATAATAATAAAAAAGAATTTGTGAAATTGTCATTAAATTCTTTTTATTATTATTATTTTTTTAGATGAAGCACTTAATTACAAATAATCTTTTATTTATTTATTTATTTATTGTGTTTCAAAATAAAATAAAATTTATGTATCTGATCTTTAAATGACTTTTATTAAAAAAAAATTGTTATGTCAGATATTTCACATATTATGTTTCCGAGTAGAAAATTGCAAGATCTATCAAAATCAAGAAAAAAAAAATTGGGGTTACTATTTAAAAAAATTGTCAATGACGTCACTGCCCAAAAATGAGAAGTGGGGGAAAATTGAATTATATTTAAAAAATTGCTCTTTGAGTAAACAAAATTGACCTGTCCGAGTATTTTTTCGAAAAACCAACTACTTCCATTATAATGAATTTATTCCTTTCATTTGAACCATACTGTATATATGTCGCAGGCTTATTATAAAATCAGTCTTATTATAATATACCTAGGCTTTTTCAATACGACTAGGCATATCATAATACTACTCAAATAATTAAGAATCTCACAATTTGACTAATAATTTCAGGCGTATTATAATAAGCCTGCCGCTTGTTAGTCTTATTGTTAAATTGAACCGACGCGCATGTGTTTTAGAATCCGACTAGATTTAATCCGTCGTATTATGATACGACTGACGATGTGCCAGGCGAATTGCAATCATCATTGTTGTTGAGTTGATTAGATGTTTTAATTTTTTTTACCTACCTAATATTTGTGTAAAATATTAATTATATTTAAAATGAGGGATTTAAAAAGTGTTTTTGCAAGCCAAGAAAGACACAGTGTCATAGATAAATGTTTAAAGCTCGTATGAAATGTACTAGCAAATGTCATAAAAGCGGACCATGCTGTAATAAATAATCCTAATCTATTTTTTTTGTGTCATCGGCATTAACTACTAAGGTTATTAGCCTCGTGTTCTGTGTAGGCGTTGTTACTGTTTCCCAACGCCACTGTAGGAACAGCACTGTCAATTAGAACCCAACAGTGAATGGTCAAGTGGAATCCTAATCTATTATTTGTATTTTTATTTTAAATAGTTTAGAATGTTTAAAATCGAGTATATCGATACCAGTTGTATTATAAACACGATTCGCCTGGCACATCGTCAGTCGTATTATAATACGACGGATTTCATATAGTCGGATTCTAAAACACTTGGGCATCTATTCAATTTAACAATAAGACTAAAAATCGACAGGCTTGTTATAATACGCCTGAAATGATCAGTCAAATTGTGAGATTCTTAATTATTTGGGTAGTATTATAATATGCCTAGTCGTATTGAAAAAGCCTAGGCGTATTATAATAAGACTGATTTTACCATAAGCCTGCGACATATACATTATGGGAGCATTGCTTCTTAGTGAATTGGTTAGCAACTAATGAAACTGATTTAATTAACCTATTGATGCTCAGAATGTTAAAAAAAAAATCGATTTTTTTTAGAGATGTTGGTGACTACCTATTTGTGATCAGTGTGTGTTTTTTTTTAATTTGATTTATTTTTGTTCCGAAATATATACCAAAATTAAAATCGTACAGATAGATATCGAGTTTCCTCTAGACAGAATGCCAAAAAAATGTATGTGCAAAATTATTTAGACTACCATTCTGATGAATATACTCTGTAGAGTCCACATAACACAGTTCAACATTATTGGTATTTGTTACAAATGTTGCACCAAGAAAACACGTTTGGGAAAAAGGAGAAAATGAGCTACAAACTATTAAAAATAGATTTTTCTGATAAATCAATAATAAAAAGTTTCCATTTGGTGCAAAACTTTTGACTCCTAAAAAAAAAGAAACGCATTAAGTGGCTTAACTGTCCAATGGCAATCAGAATGCGGTCCTCGTATTTTGCATACAAAAATTTCTGGCGCATTTACTAACTAAAATTAAATATTTATTGGAATTAACATTCAAACTCTATAAGAAAAATCTCTAGTGGAAACTGGTATCTTAGTTATTTCATATAAATAACTAGATACATATTTGGTATTTATTTTTGAAATAATTCTTATTTTGATCTTGTTCTACTTGACATTTTTGCATCACAAGAAAATGTGGAGTTTTCTGGAGGCGAGGATTCGGTTTGTTATTTTGTTTCCTTTGCATGACGACTAACTAAAAGATCCTAACTATAACACCTTTATTACTATGTTACTGCTGAAAAGAATCAAATTATTATTTTATTATTTATGATAAATAACCTATGAAATTATATTTTTTTCATAAAAAATGATAAACAATGAGTAGTTCAGGTAAGTATTTATCCATTGTGTCTTGATAACAAAAAAGACTTTAAAAAACTATTTTTTATTTATGGTAAACTATTGTTAATAAGTCTCAAAAATGGTTTTATGGAAGAAAACAAATTGTGGAATGTTACTTCTTCGCTCTGTTTGTTAAAATGATATTTTGGATTTTAAACATTTAATTTGCTTTATTTGAAGAAGGTAAGGGCGATGGCTATAAAACAATCTGTAAATATATAAAATACTAACCCGAAGTTACATTGCGTTGTTTAATGAAATAACTTTTATATTTTTGCAGTTTTGGCTTTTGAAATCATATTTTAAATTGTGAGATAATATATTTTTTAGTAATCCTCAATTTTAAATTCTGATGAAATAGCAATATTGAAATTTTTTAGATACTTGAAAATTATAAACGCCTTCTACAAATTTGAATTAATACCCAAACACTTTTAGTTGGTATGCCAAAATGTGCTTATAATAGCACTGGAACCAGTACCACTAGGATGCAGCTATTCAGGTGCCAATAGTCACAGTATTACATCAGCAGCACAGCTTGCAAGTAAAGATTTGTGCCCGATTGAATGAATATTGTTAAACATTGTCTCTGGTGTCCAGAAACGAAGCAGATATTTATACTATGGATGCTTCCAAAATGCGCTACCACACATAAATATGATAAAATTTCAAAGTGTTGGTAAATTATCACCCCATCCTCCTTATTCAACCGATTTGGTCCCTCTTGTTTTACCGTTTCTGAGTCTTGTGTGGCATCACAATCATGAAATAAATAAACAACTTTATTTTACCACTGCCAATTATAAAAGAGATGTTTATTAAGGTATTTATTTTCAAAGTTTCTTTTTTTTTAACTATAGATATAAGGTTTGTAATGATTAAAAATAAATACTGCATCATAAATGCTTCTTTTTAAAAAGGAAAGTAGAATGGTATGGCCCAGATTAAGAGTTAAATCTGATATTGTGATTATGTAAGATTTCGGAAAATTTAGTTTTTATTCTAAATTGATAACAAATTAAGAAATTTATTTTTTAACAAATTCGAAAGTTTTTTTAGAAATAAAGCCAGATAAAATATGATCAATGTTCTTAACTTACAAATAAAACGGCAATATTTGTTTTGTACATGTTGCAGTTTGTACCTATTGTGTTTTTTATCCAAGCAAGGGTAGTATAGAATAGAGGTTGCCTCCTAATTTAAACCAGTTTCAGCCAAAACCCAGTAAAATGCAAAATATTTCTTTTTCAAATAAAAATCATTGGTATTACAGTTATCTTTTATTTGTTTTGGGGTATAGCAGTTTAAAATTAAATTGAATCTTTATTGATAACACAAATTGAACCATAAAAAAATTAATTTACTAAAAAACTTACAAATTTATTCTTTTACAATTTTGTTTTCAAAAAATCATATTTTATTTGTTTCGAGAATATAACAGTTTTTAAAAAACAAAGTTCTATTTAGGATGGGTACCATTTTAATTAACCTTGTCATTTTGTTACCTGACAAGAGAGATAAAATGTCAAACTTTTCCCATCACAGAAAAAAAATGTATTTTTAGTGAAAAATAAAATATCGATGCACCGCGGGCGTTATTACATAATAACTTCTATCGGGTAATATTCACCCCTTGCATCAAAGGTACATATAACTCAAACTCAATTGGTACCAAAATAACTATTAGATGTAGGAAGGTCTTGGCGGTTTAATCAAACGTCAAAACAAGTGGAATATTTGTCTGTTCATGAAAGATATGGTTATATGAAAATGATTTGCATAGTATTACAGCATCCCCCAAGAAAACTCTAAAAAATATTACTATATTTTTCAAATATTCAAACAGATTCATTGTATCTAAAAAATATCATCACTGCTCTCACAATATGTGTGTTTATACTGTTTATGTATTTCAAATATAGGACTGCAGTCCATATTAAGAAAAACATAATTCAATATTACATGTTAATTTGATTAGATTGTATTTTGATTAAAATATACTTCAAATATCAGCACAAGGTTTTCGCAATTCATTACACATTAAAATAATATTTTAGTTACAAATTAATATATTTTTATGCGATTTGTTACCTTTTTTATTAACATGTTTTACTTTACATTTTTTTTTGTGGCTGATGACTGTTTCTTAATGTCAAAAACCAAAATTTTTTATTTTATTGATCCGTATGCATCATGTTTTTTTTTTCAATTACATAGCTTGATGCAACCGTTTGATTCAGTACTATTCACCAAGGGGCACTCTTAATTTATTTATTTTTTGCCATTCCTAATTCTTTTGAAATGTTCAACAAAACTTAAATAACAATATGTCGTATCACATTTCGTCTTGTTGACAAAAAACACTCTAATTTACAGGTACCGTAGAGATAGATTATTTTAATAGTTTGTAAAAAGTTGTATCTGTTTGTTATAGCGGGTGCATCATCAACCGCCTTAGGTGCCACAAGTACAGCAGTTGCGTTACCAGGAACTGGTGCAGTAGCTGCAGTATCCCCTCCGGTCGAGCCCCCCGTCTTTCAATGTCCGCGAAGGCCGAATCTCGGCCGCGAAGGTCGGCCCATCGGCCTCAAGGCCAACCATTTTCAAATCACCATGCCAAGAGGGTTCGTGCATCACTATGACGTCAATATACAACCTGATAAGTGCCCAAGAAAGGTATGTTTCAAATATTTTAAATTGTTTCTTCTAAATTATGTATACTGTCTTATTTTAGGTTAATAGAGAAATTATAGAAACCATGGTAAAAGCATATGGTAAAATATTCGGCAATTTAAAACCAGTATTCGATGGCAGGAACAACCTCTACACCCGTGACCCGCTACCTATCGGCAATGCCAGGGAGGAACTCGAAGTCACTTTACCCGGTGAAGGAAAAGACAGACTTTTTCGTGTTAGTATAAAATGGGTGGCTCAAGTATCTCTCTATGGCCTAGAAGAAGCCCTGGAAGGTAGAACGAGGCAGATACCGTACGAGGCTATTCTAGCTCTGGATGTAGTCATGAGGCATTTGCCTTCTATGAGTTACACGCCAGTTGGAAGAAGTTTTTTTAGTAGTCCTGAAGGGTATTATCATCCTTTAGGTAAGTTCAGCTTGTGTAAAATTATGACCATATAAATTTATGTTTTTAAATGTCTTCTAGGTGGTGGAAGAGAAGTGTGGTTTGGTTTCCATCAATCAGTTCGACCTAGTCAATGGAAAATGATGCTCAATATTGATGGTATGTATTTGCAATAAAAAATATAGTCATTTCTGACTTGTGAAAGTGATTAAAATAACGTTATATTTCAGTGTCTGCAACGGCATTCTATAAAGCGCAACCTGTGATAGAGTTTATGTGCGAGGTACTCGACATAAGGGACATTAACGAACAGAGGAAACCTCTGACTGACAGCCAGCGTGTTAAATTTACTAAAGAAATTAAAGGGCTCAAAATCGAAATTACTCATTGTGGGGCGATGAGGAGAAAATACCGTGTATGCAACGTGACGAGGCGGCCTGCACAAATGCAATCGTAACTAAAGCTAATTTTTTTGCAAATTTCGGCAAATTGTTTTCATGGTCTTTTTTAGATTCCCTCTTCAGTTGGAGAACGGCCAGACTGTTGAGTGTACAGTAGCAAAATATTTCTTGGACAAATACAAAATGAAATTGAGATATCCTCATTTGCCGTGCCTCCAGGTTGGCCAAGAACACAAGCACACTTACCTACCATTAGAAGTTTGTAATATTGTCGCCGGCCAGAGATGTATTAAAAAATTGACGGATATGCAAACTTCGACAATGATCAAGGCAACTGCAAGGTAAGGAATATTGAAAAATAATTTTAACCGTTTTTTTTTTCACCATTAGCACAACAAACTATGTATTATAGTCGGAGGCTGATAATGAATTTGGGGAAGGTATTTAGACAATTTGAAATTATAAAAAACAAGTACTGTATCAATGTTAGTGAATCTGGAAACAAAAGTTAGGAAGGGTACTTGCATATGGTGTTGATCCAAAAAAATATTCTCCAGGCACCTTGGAAATATTTTTTTTAACATTTATAGAATACAAAATAAAATTATCTACATTTTAATACAGTGCGGTCCATAAGTAACTAATAAATTAATGAATAATTTAAAAATTTGGAAGCAAATCTCTAAAATCACCATACGAATTATTGAGACCATAGCTGAACCCTAAAGGTGAAAACAAATACTTGGAGATTTGAAAAAAGCCTGCCGCAGCCGGGATCGAACCCAGACATCCTTGTTTGCTAGACAAGTGCCCCTAAATTAATTTTCTACATAATTTACCATTTCTGAGTAAAAATCCTTAAACATGATTGTTAATTTTGAAATGAAATTTTTTTAAGCATAATTTTATACCTCCCCTTCAACCCCCTTGGAGTTACAACCCCTTCTACCCGTTTTAAAATTTTAAATGGAACAAGTGTGTGTGATAGCTCATTTGAAAGGGTTAATCTTCTATCCAGCATTATAAGGTTATTGAAAAATATTGCATTTTTAATGTCACTAAGTAAACAACTTTTTTTCCTAAGGTAATGGCACTAGCAAAGCAAACAGGCCAGTCTCTTTTTTGTTTGATTGACATATTCAATCTTTAAACGATATTAACAATTGAGTTTTGTTTAATTGTATACCTATATTTTTTTTTTAAGTTTTATTTTTAGTTACATGTGTTATATTTTTTGTGAATTTTTTAATTTTTTTTAAATAATAGGCTTGCAAACTTGTCTTAAGCGGTAGCACCGCTACTCACAGATTTTGGATGGTACTTTTTACACAGTGATATATTATAAGTACTATTGTATTCTGTCAGTAGGTGTTCTAGATTAATAGGAAATTTAACATATTAATTTTTGATAACAAAAAATCGAATGTTCAAACTGGGAGCCCATTGCTTCTTGGCGATAATAGAGACGTTGCTGAAATTCTTTTAAAACCTTTTGTATCGTTTCCGGGTCGATTTGATTAATTTCTTGTCTTATTCTGTCTTTTAAATCATTGACGTTATAGACTTTAGATTTTAAATAATCATATAAAAAATATGCAGGCGGAGTCAAATATGTAGAATGGACTGTCCACTCAATTTCACCACGTCTACTGATCCACCTATTAGGAAAAACTTGATTGAGGTAGGTTTTTACTTCCATGCAAAATCGCCGATAAATAACTAGAATATGTTTGCACAGATGTAGCCAAGAAAGAAATTAAATTTTTTTCTGATATGTAAAAAGAAACCCTTTTTATTTCTTTCTTTGTGTTAGGTTTTTCCACTTGCGTATCAGAAACATGATACATTTAAATTCTCCCTTTTTTTTTAAATAACGTTCTAAATTAGTTAGCTGGTTTTATAAAAAAAGAAGATAAACATTTAAACTAACTTTAAACACTAAAGAACATTAACACTTCCATCTTTTAGTAAACATATTTTGGTTTGGCTGAATCAATTATCTCATATGGTCTATTTTTTTGGGGCTGCTAAGCTCATCTGGAGCGAGCCTTCTGTGTTAAAAAAAAGTTATAAGATGGATGACTGGGGTTTCGAGAACAACTAGCTGCAAACAACTTTTTCATGACTTTAAAATCCTAACACTTCCATCGTTGTATATATTCATTCACACAATTATAACACACACAATCACAAATATCTACAGCAGTCTTTCTCTAGACTCTCAGTTGGACAGAATTCCGAAATCTACAGAGATGTTGCATGTTTTAATAGATATACTCAAGTCAATAGTAATGAAAAAATCTTTAATGTATTCAAAAATAAGCATATCTTTTGTCCAAAACATATTATTCCTATGCAGAATTTTTTCGAGTAAAAGCATTACAGTAACTAACGATAATTAAATAATGTTCGTTATTTAATTTAATATGATGATGAGGGGGTTCCGATTTTCCTCACTCTTTAAGACGCCCCGGAGCGCCACGGCAAATAATAATATCCGTCTCTTTCCCTGGACAAGGTCAGCTTTTGGGGTTAAAATTCACTCGCAAGGGGGTGAATTAGGAAGAGGTATTATTATTATTATTAAAAATACCTTTTACCGGATATGTGGCGCCCACCCTGACACTTTGTGTTTATTTATATTATATACTATATTGTACAAAATGTATTAGTATAAAGATGCCCTCCAAACCAGATGCTCCCTACCAGGAATAATCCCTTTTAGGCCGGGTTCTACATTTTACATTTTTATAAGATTCTATATATCAATTTTGGAAGAAATCAGATCTTACTTCTCTGTCTTTTCGTTATCTCAGCATTGGCACCTTGTATTTTTTTCCAGTTTGGAGTTATTGCTCACTGTTCATCTTTCATGAATAAACTCGACTGATTATATTACTTATCTCCTTTAATTTGTCATCCCAAGATCATCATAATATAAACAAACATTTTACAAATTTCCATAGTTACATATCTCCAACTACTTGATCCAGGACCAAAAAGGATTATCTCTCGACTAGTTGCACCCCAAATGAATTTGTCTCCTTAAGAAAAGGTTTAGCTTTTAAGTCGAGATCTTAGGTTACTAGTAACGAATAGACATTGTTTTTCAATTAAACCCTGTATATGTTAATGTTGTAGATCTGCACCGGATCGTGAACGCGAGATAAACAACTTAGTACGACGAGCGGACTTCAACAACGACGAATACGTTCAGGAATTCGGTCTAACCATCAGCAATAACATGATGGAAGTGAGGGGTAGGGTATTGCCACCGCCAAAACTTCAATATGGCGGCAGGGTGGCTTCCCTCAGCGGACAGGTGGGCTGGCACGTTAGTTTCCAGTTGTATTTTATTTTCTTTTAAGCTTAGCTTGCCGCTAGGAGATTGCAAGAGTTATATCGATTTTTAACTTTAAGTTTAAAAATTAAATTGCTTCGACACTTTATTTCTTTTTTTTATCGATAATAATTTAGTTTGGAAGCATTTGTTTTTTTTTTAGCTTTTTCTAGATCTTTTATGCTTGCAATCTTCTATTTGTTATTAATTTGCCACTTTTACGTAGTTAATTATTATAGTTGGGTGCACACACACATTTAAGGTGATCATGTTCCTATGCTTGGTAGATGAAGGTATCCATTTTTATATTATTTGTTGACGATTTTTTTGTGTTTTTTTTTATCTAGTATTAGTTTTACTATTTTTGATTTGTTTGGGATAGGTTTTATGTTTTTTAGCATGGTTGTTTAATGTTGAAGTGTTTTAGTGAATTTAAAAAATGATCATGGCGCAATGGGCTACACACGACTTCAGTATAATTTTTTTTTATTTTTCTGAAAAACGAATATAAAATTTTTGAATTTGAAATTCGCGCATACAAGCGTTTTACGCCAGTTAGCTTGTTTACATTGTAAATGTCATCTCATTCTCAATCAAAATGTAAAATAACTTTTATAGGAACATGATTTAACTACTAATTAGTAAAAATATGGTATTGTTGAGAAAGCAACTGATACATTATTTAAATAAAATAAAGCATTTTCTGATTGCAAGACTTTATGCACCTACTTAGATGCTTCTTTTTTTGTGACAAATTTGACAAATTAAAGTGATGATCGGTCGATTTACTGTTTAGAACAATATTCAATGTGCGTATTAACTTTGTCCCTGTATTTACCATTCTTTTACTCTTATTTCGTTTTGGTTAAAATAATCATTTGATTTCCTGAATTTCATTAACATTAAACTGTCAATTTCTGTTAATTAGCCACTTTGTGCTATTACAAAAGCTGTAGTATTCAGCAAAAATCAATTTCCAATAAAATCAATGCGATTAGAGGTTGTTATATAGTGTTATATAATGTCAGTCACAGAAGTAAACACCTAAATGACAATAGAGCTATATTACTTGACAGGTGATTCAGAAGTATTTGAGCAATGGTCGGATTGTTAAATTAAAAGTAAATAATGAGTTTTAAATATCCTGATAAATAATAAGACCATATATTAACATTATCTTACAGTCCTGTGTAGCCTATTGTGATAAATGTTATCAACACTAAACACTTATCCATAAAATAATTTAAATAACTAGGACTTACAGAGCCCACCCTCTTTATACCAAAAAACTAATTTTTGCTTTCAATTTCACTTTTTATCAATCTTTGAAATAACACACCTACTTTTTTCTAAACAGCGGTTTTAGTTTTGCTTTGAAAATAAAATAGTATTTCGAACGTACTTAATTTTAAACTTATAATTCTCCATAAACATTAATTGCTTTAAACAGTTTAAAACACATCCCAACATTTTTTTCTGACACAATGATTAAAGTTCATTTTCACTTAATTTTTTTAATTTTAATTTTTTAAATACTTTATTCACTGGCTATGTAACAAATATTCAAGTAAAACCACAAAATATACACATTGCCAAAAGTCTTGGACTAAAATATTTTGAAATAGTACATTATTTTTAGTTAAATTTACATAACTTAATATTGTTCCTATTATTTTTGTCTTATTTCAATTAATGATTATCTATTATGTTCTATCTATTTTCTGCCGAAATAAGTGTTATGCACTTATGGGCGTATATCCTTTTTTCACAGTTAAAATTTCACTGATTTATAAAATTTCTTGTTATTTATGAAATAAAGTTTTGATTATCATTTTTATTATTATCCAGAGTCAAAAAAAGACAACAAATGATACGAGATTTATATTTTGAAAATTTCATCCAAGTACATTTGGCGATGTATATAAAGACACCCGATTATGGATACTTTTAAATTGAGATTCAATTAGTATTCGCGATATTAGTTTATTTTTTGTTACAGAGTAAACAACAGGCGATGCCTAACCAGGGCGTTTGGGACATGAGAGGCAAACAGTTCTTTACCGGCGTTGAGATAAGGGTATGGGCCATCGCATGCTTTGCACCACAACGTACTGTTAGGGAGGATGCCTTGAGGTAATATTTATATTGTATCATTGATACTCATCTTTTTATTGATTAGCTTTGATTTGAAAGTCACCTCTTTAGCTCTAACTACACATATTCTTCAAAACTGTAAAACTAAGGCTTTTGAACCAAATTTTAGTGACTATAAGGCCTTTAAATTAATCATTTAATATTGATGAGAAATTAAAAAGTAATAAAACATTCTTTAGAAATATTTCTGATCAAAATTTCTATGTGTGAAATTTATGTTAATCCCGACATAGATACCATTTTTCAGATTTTCATTAACATTACCATTTACATAGTTGATAAATATTGCCCACTAAAAAAAAACGAGTTGAAATAAGGCAGGATTTAAAAATTTACATTGGTTGACAAAAACCTTAAAAATCAATATTACAATTTGTTATTACAGGACACTAAGTAATAAATTAGGTTTTATTTTAATGATATATTGGAAATCTATTGACAGACTCCTTACAGTAGAATATAATTGATACATTGGTCCGAGGATGTTCCCTTGTGGAACACCAGATTTAATATGCAATGTCTTTCTTTGTTATTATTGTTGGAGTTTTGCTGAAAATAAATATTTTTTTTCTAGAAATTTTACTCAACAACTCCAAAAAATCTCGAACGACGCCGGTATGCCAATTATTGGACAGCCGTGTTTTTGTAAATATGCCACCGGTCCTGATCAAGTGGAACCAATGTTTCGCTATTTAAAGTCCACCTTCCAGGCCTTGCAGCTTGTCGTCGTAGTATTACCAGGAAAAACTCCAGTTTATGGTAAGTTATAGGATATTTAAATATTGTTCTTAAAAAACAGGTATCTCTGGATAGACTGAAAAAGAGGAAATACTTTTTTATTGTCAACTTTTAGACAAAATGTTATTCTTCTTAAAAGATTTTGCTTGTTTCAAAACTAATAATATCTTTGTTTTAGTGAAATAATGTCATTATTTCACTAAAGATACATTCAACTTGTTTGGATTATTATTAGTTGTAAACCAACCCAACACTTTTATGAAGAATAACAGTTTTTCAGTCCATCCGGGGACAGACCCTGTATACTAAAGATATTTAAAATAAATATTTTTTTGTTTTACAGCTGAAGTGAAAAGAGTCGGTGATACTGTATTGGGAATGGCCACCCAATGTGTTCAAGCTAAAAATGTCAATAAGACTTCCCCACAAACACTGTCCAATTTATGCCTGAAAATTAATGTTAAGCTGGGAGGAATTAACAGCATTTTAGTGCCATCAATTAGACCAAAGGTAACATAAACATATATTTATTTATAAAATGAGCGTGAGCTAAGGGTTTTAATATTATTTGTAAAATCAAAAGGAGAGGGTATGACATCTAAATATTTTTTAGTCAAAAATTATACCTAAATCCTTAACATGAGATACAGGATTGATATTTAAGTTATACTGAAATTTAATTAAGTTGATATTGCAACTGAAGCTTATTTGGAAAAAAGTATTCTGGTTTAAAAGTAAACTACTGTTTTGACAGTATTTAAAAAGGTTGTTATAAATTCATTTTAAATTAATATACAATCTGTGATATTATTTAATGTATGGTTAATTTTTAAATCATCGACATACATGAGAAAAATTTACAAATTTGAAGCATTTTGATCATTAACATCGATATTAAACACTAGTGGCCTAAGATAGGATTCCTGAGGGATCCAAGAGCAAACTTTTGAAAAAGATAAGTAATTAATTACCTATGAATATAGCCTAGACACAGTGGCTGATATATATAGAAACCATTTCTAAAGGTTTTTGTCTACAGCAACTTCAGTCAATTTTTTTATTAAGATACTGTGATCAAGTTTATCAAACCCTTTACTGAAATCAGTTTGTTGATAGACATACTGTTGCTTTATTTATCATATTATAAACTAAACGGATAGTGTCGATGTCGATAATGTAGTAAAAATAATGTAGTTAGCCAATTTAGCCAATCAAAATGCACTGTTTGAGATTTCACAATACATCTAAACAACCATTGCCAAAATAAAGAAAATTAAAAAAGCCTACATTGGTGCAATTTGCAATATTTTCACGATCATATCCAGGAAAGAACCCTTCAGACAGATTTATTAAAAATTAAGAATAATGGGCAGGATAAACCAGCAAAACAATTTACAAATTAGTCGGAATATTATCAGTGTTTTATTAAGTAATTTAAAAAAAAATTCTATAATTTCTATATTTGTCAATGTGATAGTTGTTTTTATGATGTCCGTAAAGTGAATATTAGGAGAGATTAAAAAAGAATTGGGCAGTAGAAGAACCGATAATTGGAACAATCTCTTGGGGCTGAGACAGGCTAAGATACTTCTAGGTGAATATAAAGAGAAAAGATCAGAAGCCTGCATCTGCCTGAGCAAGAACAGGCTACATATTGTAACAGGGATCCTTACCGGGCATTGCCGACTAAAAGGACACCTTAGTATACTGAGAGTAGTAGAGGATAGTGAGTGCAGATTCTGTGTGGAGGAGGATGAAACCTCCATTCAAATTCTAACTGAATGTGTAGCACTCCAGAATGCAAGGGCACTATACCTAGGAGGATATCAAATCCTAAACTTCCTTGAGACATTTCCTTGGAGCATTAGCGACGGAAGGGGGCACAATAGATCTTTTAGGTCGCAGGGTATTAACACCTCATTCCCAACATAACATAAAGTGAATTGTCATTAGCGTCAAGCAATTTTAAAAATGGTAAAGTTAAAAGATGATAAAAAAGTCGTTTGAGAAAATGTTGCAAACCTCTTGGATATTGGCGAATAAATTGTTTGTTGCATATTTAAAAAATTAAATAGTGTAGATACAGTGGCACTTGACTCCACTTGCATCGATTTTTCCTCCTGATCTGGGGAAATTTTTAGAGTAGATCTGACAATAACGCACTGCATGATTCAATGGTAAGTAAGCCTAATAATTACCCAGAAAATTTGTACCAAAAGACAATACCGCTTTTCCTGTAGACTGTCTAGAGCGGTAGATCCCTTAGATAACGTTCATGGTCTACTGTAGAAACGGTGTTGCCTTTCTGTACCAATTTTATGGGTAGTTATTGACATACTTACCGGTGAATCATGCGGTGCGGTGTTGTCAGATCTATTCTATACATATCCTCATATCTGAGAAAAAATTGATGAAGATGTGATCAAGTGCCACTCTAGCTTTCTTTTTACAAATTTGACTAAATATTTTTATTCAATTGTCTATTAAGTATCCCATATGAGATCACTAATCATTTCCCTCGCTGTATTTTATTTCATTTCACGTTTACTACGGACCGTACTCGTAAACTTAACACTGGTAAAGTAATGATGGAGCTTAGACAGTTATCTGAGATAGTCGTCCATTTATACGATGTTACAAGGGTGACTTTAACGTGTTGAATATTATGAAACAGGTTACGAAATAGCTATTTATGAAACCAATTACAAAATACCTTATTTTAGTAACTAGTGAATATTTGCGGGACGAGCAGAGCGATGATGTTCAACATTATGCAAAGTAGATCATTTTGACACTTGCTGCGGTTACAAAAAATGTCACTTTATATGTCAAAATTAGAGAGAGAAAAATCATTGTCACCATTTGCGAAAAGAAAACGAATAAAAATTAACCTTTTTTGATTTTAAAATCAATATATACATTATTATTATTATTGATAGTTTATATCAAAGAAGGGCAGGTTGACTTATAAAAATATAATTTGCTTAAACTTTCAACCTAGTAATAATGTTGTTTTGGTCCTTATTTTTCAATCTAAATCAGCACAAAATAATTAAAACATAATACACGACAAAACAACCCGCTTTCTTGAAAACTAAAGAACTTTAACAAGCAATATAAACACACAAGTCGTTGAGAATAAATTAATATGATTTTCTATTTGTCAATGAAATGAATGAAGTTACGCATATGCAACTAACAATACAAGAAAGTAATATTGGTTGCCTAGATGTCAGTAATTTTTTATCAAAACAATTTTATAAATAATCTAGTCAAAATTAGAAAAAAATATTGTATGTAACAGGTTACGAAATGTCGTTTTATATAACTCGCTCTGCTCGTCCCGCAAATATTCACTCGTTATATAGAAACGAGACGCAATAAGAGAAACTTTTGTTGAAAATGGTTTCATTGTGATGAGGAATTATCAAACTATTTTGGTTTCTGATGGAAAATGTGAAAGATTTCAAAACTTTGCTTATATCTATATTGTGGGCTTCTTTAGAAGAATTTTGTGAATCATACACAGATTATGTAATTTCCTCAAGGAATCGAGCCTTAGCCATTTAGCTTTTAGATTTTTATGATAAACAAAACAAAAGCGTAGAAAAGCATTCTGAATCTTGTGTAATAGCGCAGGGCCGTAGACTGTATCAAATTTAAAAAAATTGGAGATGATAATAGATTGACAAAGTTTCAATTTTAAATTAGATGACAAAAGATCTCTATTTGGGTAAAGTTTCCTAAGAACATTGTATAAAGTTTGATAAAAATAACTCGCATCTCTTGAAAATCTGATATTAGAATCGATCCAGATTTCTAAATTTTTATATTTGTCCACAAATGGTAAAACATTTCGTTAGATGTTAATTTTTTTAAATTTTTTTTATAGATTTTCAACGAACCCGTAATTTTCCTGGGCGCGGACGTTACTCATCCGCCTGCGGGCGACAACAAGAAACCTTCCATAGCGGCCGTGGTGGGTTCCATGGACGCCCATCCGTCCCGTTACGCTGCTACAGTGCGCGTCCAACAACATCGACAAGAAATCATCCAGGAACTCAGCTCGATGGTCCGCGAATTGTTAATCATGTTCTACAAATCCACGGGTGGTTATAAACCACATCGGATCATTTTGTACCGGGACGGCGTATCCGAAGGACAATTTTTACAGTTGTTGCAGCATGAACTTACCGCTATTCGAGAGGTACGTTTTTACAGGATAAAATTAATTTTAGGAGTCCTAAGGATTTATATAAACCTAAAATAAATACCAAGTATCTAGTGAATTAATTCATTATGATTACAAAATCTTGCTCTAAGCTGAAAATATGCATGTTTAAGGTGAATAAGTTCTAACTTTTATCATCACAACAACTTTGAACTTGAAATTAATAATTATTAAACACTATGTGATTCAGACTATAGACACACATACGGTGTTGTTATTTATAAAAGAAAAGGAATCCGATTTTCAAATTATTAAACATTTGTTTATAAAAATAATTATTGGTTTGTAAGTTTATCTTAATATTCACTATTGGGTTCTAATTAACAGTGCTGTTCCTAAAGTGGCGCTGGGAAACCGTAACAAAGCCTACACAGAACACGAGGCTAATGGCCTTAGTAGTCGATGACATCAAATTAAAAAAAAATTACATATTGTGGTTTAAAGTGGGTAATAGGCAGTCTCTATCACTCATTAAGTGCAGGTCATGCTACATTCTTGGATCATTTGGAAAATATTAATTTCTGAAGAAATATTCTGTAATATTGTTCACACAGTGTTAATTGGTAATTTTAATTAGAATTTTTTTATCTGATGAATTTTGTGTCAAATAGATTAAAGATATTTTTAATACATATGGTATATCAGTAAAACCTTAATTGACTATGTGTTAACAAATTGGGATAATACTGTAGCAACTGATTTGGATGCTTAAACTTGTGCTAAATGTTTTTTACAGTGAAATAATTTTACCTACAACAAACAAAAATTGTTAGGAGCTTGACAGAAATAGAATGGTTCAGTATTAATTTAAACTTAATTAATTTAAATTCTTTACTTAATAGCACAAATATAAACCGGATTATGAAAACATTTTAAATGATATTGCACCTTTAAAAGCAGCAAAGAAAATAAATATTATCCATAACAGTTTATTTCGCTTATCATATTCAATTTGAAAACAACAGTGAAAAAATCCTTATTAGAGAAAAAATGAATTAGCAAATTGTTTTAATAGATTGTGAGATCTAATAAAATTATAAAGAGCAGCTTTGAAGTAATTGGACACATCTGGTGTCATTTTATAAACCTCTCTAGAAAATGGTTTTCCACATGATTTAAAAATTAATATGGTTACACCTATTGAAAAAGTATCTAATACAAATAAATGGAATGAATAACGTTCAATCAAAACTTTAACTTGTGTTGAAAAAATTGTAAGAGTTGGTAGTTTACCAACAGTTGTTGGAATATTTTAATAAAAAAAACTCTTTAATAACCTATCTGGTTTTAGATCTAACCATTCATCTGAATCAGCACTTCAATTTACTGTTACTGAATGGAAAGCTGAGTAAAGGCATGTATATTAATAGACCTCAAACGTGCGTTCGAAAATTGCCAAATCATGAATTGCTACTCAATTTTTTTTAAAAAATATGGCATTAAAGGCAAATTATTTGATTGGATCAGTGCTTACCTTACAGACAGAAAACAGGTAATCAATATTAAAGATTCTGTTTCAACATTAATTGATGTACATGGCGTTCCTCGGGGAAGTATTATAGGGCCATTGCTATTCTTAATCATATTAATGATATCAGCAATTGTAGTGAATGAGATTTTGAACAACTTTTTTCCGATGACACAAATGTATCAGTTAGATGTAGCTATTTAAAAAATGAACAAAACAATATTGCTAGATATTTAAAAATTAATAAACTCAAACTAAATGTTGATAAAACAAAAGCTATGATACTTAGTACACCTTTTAAATACAGAGAATTAGATTTAAATCAAATTGAAATAAAAACTGGAAATGACAAAGTTGAGCTAGTAACTGAATTTAAATATTTAGAATTCATGTTAGTTAATGATTTATCACTTAATAGTCATTTTAATTACATACAAAAAATTCAAGAGATTATATTTATTTTTCAAGAGCGTCTCAGCACTTAACTATGCAGTCCAGAATAACAGTATATAATACTATTATTCAACCACGTTTTGAATATTGTCCTACTTTGTTGTACATATCTGATTTAAATAAAATGAGAATCCTACAAAAACAGCAGAATCGCGCAATGATGATTATTTTGAAATATAACGAATATACTTCGACATCTTTAATGCTAAATACTCTAGAATGATTACCTATTGAAAGTAGTATGGCGATATCTATCTTGTTCATAAAATAATTTTTTGCTGCGAACTGGTTTATTTTGGGCAAAAAATTCAAGAAACATTTTTTGTTTAGAATGAAACAGGCTATCGGAAATACATTTTTAAATGGTGAACAAATAATAAGACAAAAAGTTACGTTGGAACGAAATTTTAGGGGTTGCGTTTTCCACCTTTTACAACCATGGGGTAAACCAAATAAATTACTGGCTAAGTGTCTTTTTGGTAGTAGAAAATGTCAGGTTAATTTCAATATTGTAACTTGTTTAGTGCTTGTGAAAAAAATTGTTAAACAAATTTTATGTGCCCCCTTTAAGGGGCTGTATCTTAACAAGGGATGATCCAATGAAGTTTCTTTATATGAAAGATCCTATCTTTTTTTCGATGAGGAATCACCCCCTTAAATGTTTTACACTTATTTAGTTACGCCCTGTATAGTCTACCTGAAAATGTAAAATCTATAAGTTTTATTCTGTTTAAAATAAATTTGTTAGGCCATTTAATGGAAAGTTGAGATATACCAAATAATTGTTGTGTAGAATATTGTTTGTATTATTGATGTGTAATTTCAATGATGTGTAATTTTTACTTAAAAACAAATACTCTAATTAATAACTATTTAAAATTTTTATTAGTACCTTATATAATTATTCTATATTTTTTAACTGATTTCATAAAAGGTTTTCAATTCGTAGAATTTTTTTTTTATGTACAGCGATAATTCTTTACTACGTTGTCCGATTTCTATGATTCTTTTTTTTCTGTTTGAAAGGAGTAATTCCATATACAATTGGTTAGGATCTGATGATTTATGAGACAATCAAAAATCTCAATTTTTAAGGGCAACTGCACGATTTTGAAATCGGTTTCTTAAAATTACTTTTATAGCTTGTTTGTACCTATTTTAATAAAGCCATCTATCTATAGGTAATCAAAAACTAGATACCTATTTTTCTCAATATCATGTATTGGAATTCGTTTCCTTCATATTAAATTGAAGACTTTGTGAAGATTTATTTATTTATTTATTTATTTATTTATTTATTTATTTATTTATTTATTTATTTATTTATTTATTTATTTATTTATTTATTTATTTATTTATTTATTTATTTATTTATTTATTTATTTATTTATTTATTTATTTATTTATTTATTATTTATTTATTTACGGGAAAACCCCATTTTACAATAAAAAATATATGTTATATGCACAAATACAAAATAAAAAACAACATCAAAAATTGTATCATGTAATAACATTTGATTAAAACATATGATAACATTTGATTAACAAGGCAGACAATAACAGTACTTTCAAGTGTCATTAAGAAAGTGGTTAGCAATACTTCTTTTAAATGAAGGATATGACGAACCAAAAAATCCAAGTCTATTTCTATACTGTTAGCACTCCTAACCAATCGTGTTGATGGACTATAAAAGCTGTAATTTTGTCTATGGTGTCTAATAAAAAAAAGTTTCATTAGCTCTGGTTGCACTATTAATTTTAAGACCAATTTTTAATAAAATATCAGGATAATTTTTATTTATTTATTTATTTATTTATTTATTTATTTATTTATTTATTTATTTATTTATTTATTTATTTATTTATTTATTTATTTATTTATTTATTTATTTATTTATTTATTTATTTATTTATTTATTTATTTATTTATTTATTTATTTATTTATTTATTTGATATCGAGAACTCGGAATAATTTAAACCTAACAATTTTAAACGTGGTCAAAACTAAAAAAGAATAAAGTCGGACTATCTCGGTTCAGATCTTTATTAAAACTAACATAAGCGAATCGACGGGAATTTTATTTTGCCATTCCATTAGTACCCAATCCCCTGAGATTTTTAACTTGTATTTTTATATTTTATTTTACCTAGATCAAAATTTGTTAACACACATAACACGTTGGCGAGAAAATTTACTTAATCTCAATAATTATTTTTTTATACAATATCAGTTTATATACAGTTGATCTAGTGGTTCTTTACATACTAATTTACGTTTTCTCTTTTAGGCTTGTATAAAACTGGAAGCTGATTACAAACCGGGTATTACATTCATAGTGGTCCAGAAAAGACATCACACTAGGCTGTTCTGTTCGGACAAAAAAGAACAAAGCGGAAAAAGTGGAAACATCCCAGCAGGAACAACCGTCGATGTTGGTATTACTCATCCGACGGAGTTCGATTTTTATTTGTGCAGTCATCAAGGTATCCAGGTAAGTTAATTACACTCATATAATTGAACTTATTCTGGTTTTACGAAACGTAAGTTTTACCAGGACAAAATAATTTTTTTCTTGAAATTGGTTATATGCATTATTTATATAAATTTCTGAAATAAAAAAAATGCTGACAATTCATTACATCTTTTGGGTTTGTTTTTATTTTATTTATATGAGTAAATACCAATTAATTTTAATTGTTTCCAGGGAACCTCGAGACCTTCGCACTATCACGTACTATGGGACGATTCACATTTGGATTCGGACGAGTTACAATGTTTGACGTATCAGTTATGTCACACATATGTCAGGTGTACGAGGTCCGTTTCCATCCCCGCCCCCGCTTACTATGCACATTTGGTCGCGTTCAGGGCGCGGTATCATCTGGTAGAGAAGGAACATGACAGGTAATCCACCAAAGTTCATTTTACTGTTGTTGAAAATCATTGAATTCATTTTTTTTTGTATGTGTGTGTTCTACACTGCGCGTCAGATAAAACGGGCCACCTAAAAAATTTACGAAATAATTCATCTTTTTAAAAATATCTTATTTTTATAACAATAAATCTATTGTGTATTAAGTCAGTAATTGTTTTACCATGTTATCCGATGTTACCATAAGTCAAACAAAAACAAAGCAAAAAATTTGAGAAATCATAAATTTATTGAAAAATTACAGTTACAGTTTACTTTGCAATAATAAAATTAAAGAGGCAAGTAATGGCGAGGATCACTTTTCAATACGGCGTATTGCCACCCTGATTCTGGATGACACTCATTCAATTTGGCATAGAAATCATTAAGGTCTGAATGTTTGCTTGAAAAAAAGTGGTCCATTCCTCAATAAGGGCCAACCGAAGCTTGTGTGTTGTTGGAACAGGTATACGACGTCTTACACGCCTTTTAAGCTGGTCCTAAACATGCTCAATAGGATTAAGATCCGGGCTTAGAGGAGGCAAATCTATTTTAAAAATAGCAACCCTTTCAAGGTACTGCGTTACCATCCTTGCCGTGTGTGGTCGCGTGTTATCCTGCATTAGCAGAAAACCATTGCCAACACACCCAGCATATGGCATTACATGCTCTTCTAGGATCTCTGTTATGTATTGTCGTGATGTTAATGCGCCCCTACCAATAATAACAAGATCCATGTGTGCCTTAAAATAAATTCGTGCCCAAAACATTACTGAACCACCCACCAAAAGCAACTCGAGGTGACCGAGTACAGACAGCATTATGTTCTCCAGCTCTTCTGTAAACCTTATTTCGGCCATCTTTTCCATGTATGCACATTCTACACTCATCCATGAACAGTACATTTTTCCAATCGTCCACTGTCCATTTTATATGTTCGCGAGCAAAAGCAAGTCTGCGTCTTTTGTGTGCTGCAGTAAGCAAGGGTCCTGTAGCTGGACTGCAACCTGTCAAACTACTTTCTCTTAACCTTCGCCGAACAGTAGAAGTGCTGACTGTCGTTCCATGAGCTTGCTAAAGAGTGCTTTGGAGCATTTTAGTGGTTTGGGTTCGGTCTCGTAAAGCAGGAATGGTGAGAAAGCGAGCCTCCCTGGCTGTTATTTTTTTTTAGCACCCGTATCGGGTCGCCGATGATAAGAGCATGTCGCAAAAAACTGTTGGTGTGTTTTTTGAACAGTCGAATGACTGACATTAGTTGTCTCGTCACATCCCGTTGACTTGCTCCATTTTCCAATAATGTTACAATCTGAATAGATTTTCGATATTTTTCATCCATTAATAAGGATTACACTTTACGAAGACTAGTGTAGTACAAAAATACCTTTAATACTCTTTAGAACACAATACAAGTTCATAAAGTTCTCAAAACTTAATGGACAGGTAAAAAATTATTCTGATAAATTTTTTGGTTTACTTGGTTCCGAAAATTTGTCGTTTTATGTAATTAAAAAATAAGAAACTTAACAAGATAGATAATATAGGGTTGCCCGTTTTCTCCGACGCGCTGTGTAGAATACACTATCGATTTTTTACCCGTACTCTAATCAATTTTAAGTGGCTTTTACATGCAGCTCACTTGCGGGGCAGTAAACACGTCGCTCGCGCTACCATTACTCATGCCGCTGCCGCACGCTCCCTTCAGTGGCGATATTTTGAACGGAAGTCAAAGGACTGGCAACACGAGCGGCAGCGACTGTTTATATGCTGCCTGCTGGCCTGTCCTGTTGCTTTACTAAGTGCACAAAGAAAAACGTATGTGTTTGTTGTTTGGTTAATTATTGGCACCCAATAAGATTTTAACCATGATTGAGTGGAGCAACGACAAACTTCTAAAGGTTTTAGAGCTATATGCAACTGAGGGATTATTATGGGATTCTTAACATAAAGATCATAAAAAAAACACAAAGTACACGATAAGTGGAAAAAGATAAGTGAAAACCTAGAAAATGCCTCAATTGAAGAACTGAAGTCAAAGAAAAAATCGCCAATGGCAACATTCCGGTCGCTATTATAAAATAAAAAGCGTTGATAAGGTATGGAGCGGGTGCTGATAAGGTGTTTCAGTCCATTTGTTTTCTTTTTTTTTAATATCACATTTCTTTTTAAAACATATTATTTTGCAAACTCAAAACTTAGGGCGTTATCGTCGCGGCAATTTCTACGCCCTCCATTATTGCTAGAGAATAATGGGTAGGCGCGATAGCTACATGTAAATGGTCACTTGCTTCAAAGGCTGACGTAGAATTATTCAGGGCAGAACAGCGGACAGCTGGCAGCGGGCAGAGGCAATGACTATATGTAAAAGCGGCGTTAGCCTTTTTTTTAAAGTTGGAACATCTTTAGATTTTCTTGAAATTCAACATCGGAATGACTTAAAAAAAATAATTTTGAAACGTTGGTTTATACGTATAGAGTTAAGTCTTAACATTTTGTTCTTTTTGCAGTGGTGAAGGATCGCACCAGTCTGGCTCTTCCGAGGACAGAACGCCGGGAGCCATGGCCAGAGCCATCACCGTTCACGCCGATACCAAAAAGGTCATGTACTTCGCCTAAATATGCGGCGACGATGCCAAATTTACGGATAGTACAACGCCTATAATCACCATACTAGTTTTGACCAAAATCTCGATATACAGGATGGAATTAAGAAAAAAAAAATGCATAGTTTGAAGCGGTGGTACAATGTTATAATCGTACGTTTTTTTATTTACTTTTCCAAATGATTTATGTTTATACAAAAAAAAAACTATTGTGTTTAGAAAAATGATTACTAATGCAGCGCTTAGACAGCAGCTTTAGTAAGATTTTCGATCTATCAGATAACCATTTTGTTTTTTTGTTTATTGTGACGTTCCATTTTATCTTTTATCGACATTATTTAATATTTGATAGATTTAAAATTTATACCTACAATTTAATACCTCGTTACGAATATTGATAATTCGTATCGGGGCGGAATCATATTTTTGTGTAATTTTTTTATGTAAAAAAAATCGCACGGCAATTTAATAATTCCTTTTTACGCGTTTAATATTCCAATAAAAATACCAAAGCTGTTGGTAATTTTTTTTACCAATTATCCATGCACGATAATCGTTCAATAATTTGTTGGTTTTATATTTATATTTAGATGGTAGTAGTATGTAGATTTTTCTAATTTTCAGCCCAGTCTGTGTAAAATTTACGATTGTATGTTAATGCAAGTTTTTAAAAGCCCTTGAGGAAATTCGTTTTGAAGGTTTTTATGTACAATCTAACCAAATGGCTTGGTCCGCGGCGCACCTTGTACGATATATAAAAAATGGACTAAGTTGCATTGCAAAGTTAAAATGGTTTAATTTAATGGTACTTGTTTAATACAAAAAAATAATAGGTACGGTCAAGTGGGGTAACTTTGGACGATTTTTAAAGTTTTTCAGGATAGGAAAAAAAGTGGAAGATGAAAAAATCGGAAAAAAATAATTTATGACTTTAATATTTGCTTTATGTATGATATACATAACAGTTTTAAAAATGAATGCATGCATTTTTTTTAGATGGAGTAATTTTGGACTGCAGTGGGGTAACTGCACCTAAATCGAACGTAAATTGAAGTTATTTCTTGCATTTAGTAAATTCGGACACCAAAAATAAAAATAAAAAAATAATAATAATTAAAGATTTTTACTGTGTATTGTAAGAAATGGATATAAAACATGTTTATTGACCAGAAAATACAAATTTAAATCTATTTACTCATCTATCCTTTCCCGAAATATTTCCGTTCCTAATATCTGTCATATGAATGAGAAATTCCCATTCTGCCACTTTTTAATTCCATCAATCAAAAATCTTACTTCTTCATTACTTGCGTACATTTGCGTTAGTACATTTATGACAAATTTTGCCGACCCTGTATACTTAATTTTTTACCTTGGCATTCTCGATAATATTTGTAAGGCCTTTTTTCCAACCTTCTTTTGTGGTATCTTACTATTTTTAAGGTGTTTTAGTTGACCCTACAAAAAGACGACTTTTTTTAACAGACTTCAAAAAACGAGGAGGTTCTCAATTCGTCAGAATATTTTTTTTTATGTATGTTCACCGATAATTCTTTACCACCTTGTCCGATTTCTATGATTCTTTTTGTTAGTAAGGGGATACCTCAGGGGTGGTCCCATATAAATTTGGTCAAGATCTGGTGATGACATCTGCACGATTTTTAAGTCTGTTTTTTAAAATTTCTTTTAAACTTGTTATTTAAATATATTTTTATTATTATTAAAATTTATCTTTAAATATGGTCAAAATGTAGTTAGTATCTTTCTTTAGTAAAACAAATGCTTATTTTAAGCTTTGTTATTCGAATTTAAGATTTACACATGTTTATAATTCACATTTTCTAAAAAAAATATGTTTCATATTTGTTTATGTGAACTGACCTTTAAAATTACGCCACAACAACAGGTTGACAATTTGATTGAAGATTGGATCTATATTGACCACATTTACCATACCATGTTCAGTTTCTAACTAAGACATGGCGGTACCAGTGAATTTGTACTGGTTGTCCAAAGTTACCCCACTTGACGGTACTTTTTTGAATGTCTTGGAAAGTTTTGCAAAAATTGATTGATCTTTTATTCATTCTTAATATTCAAGATTCAGTTTGTTCAGGGTCTTCGTGTATATATTTAATAATACTTCCAGGTCTACTATTATCTCTATTTTTTTTTTCAAACTACAGGTTAAGTCCAAATCTAATGCAGCTCACTGAGGGCACAAAGTAATAATATGAGAGGAACTAAGGTGGGATTTCCATACTTATGAAGGATATAGGTCAATTCTTACCAAAATGAAAATATATTTTTTTTGAAGTATTTTTACCTTTGAATATCTAACAGTGTTTCAAAAAACATGGTGTAATATAAAATGATAACTTCTTCACATAAAATAAGACTTTTTTTTTCATATCAACATCGGTCCAATTTGGATTCGTTTTGGAGCTATAGGGTACAAAATAAAAAAAAAAAAATCCCAAAATATAAAATCAAAATGGATGTTTCTAAATGCCCAAATCGCATATCAATATTTCTCATAGGTTTTTAGATTTTTTTACAATGTTACAAGTGCGCATGTTGTTTAATACTTTTAGCCTGTGGAGGTTCATTCACATTCTGAATGAATGTGTAGCACTCCAGAATCCAAGGGCATTATGCCTAGGAGCATATCAAATAGAAGATGGGAGATTCTCCTAACTTGAAGACACTCCAAATCCTACACTTCCTTGAGAAGATATGATTGGAAGGTTCGTTATAGGCATTGCCACATTTCCTTGCTGCATTATCGACAGAAGGGGGCACAATAGATCTTTTAGGTCGCAGTGTATTAACACCCCATTCCCAACATAACATAATATGTACCTGTATTTCAAAAATACCTTCGATTTCTACCATTGCAATCCATTTTATATAGAAAGTGTTTATTGAATAAAAAAAGTCGAAAATCGAAGCCATTTTACCACTTTTTTAGTTTTATGATTTTTTTTTATAGAAATGCATATTTTGGTGATAAAAATAAATAAATTTTATTGTATTTGAAAGAATATTATAACTTTAGACCTTATTGACAATAATGTTATCGTTTTCATAAGAATTACCTATATAACTCCTTGTTCCTCTCATATAGTTTCCTGTGTGCTTTCAGTACTCGGCTGTTCTGCGTTGTAGTGTTACCGAATAATGTGTACTAGAGATACAATCGGGCTAATGCAGGGTGCTCCGTGAAGTAGGCCATTCGGATAGACTGCATTCAATACTTTTCAAGAACGAAGATGTATGACAAAATTACGAAGATTTTGTATCAAAATGTTTGAAATAATACTTAGTGCTAAATTAAAAGCAATAAATAAGGGCTCTTACTTAAGGCCATCATTATGGAAACTTAATAATTTGTAAATAATAAATTTTAGATCGATTGGGCTATTTTTTGAGCTATTATTCTCATTACATAAAAATATTCCAATGTGGCAGGTATACTGCTTGTCAAATGAAGCTTTAAACTTAGTTAAGTCTTTCAAGTTACTTCTCCGAATGGCACTTGGCAGTTTTATTTTTAACCTTTTTTTAAGGAATGTCTACAGGGTGCTGAAAAGACTGAAGGTCAAAGCATTCTTAATCTTCTTCGTTTTTATCTGTTTTTTTGATGCTAACGCGGGCAGCTAATGAAAATGTACCAAAAATGTGCCTTTAATGTTGCTTATAGAAGTAGAAGATTCAACTTTTAAAATTATTACTTAATATTTGGTTACTTAAATTATATATATTTTTTAATTGCAAAATAAATTATACGGAGTACTGTAATTATTATTTACAAAATAATATGTATGCCAAGTGTTGTTCGTAGATTTAAACTCTGTTGCAGCCAATCATAAGCTGTTATAGCCTAGGCTATTTGTTCGTGTGTATACGTTTATTCCGAAGAAAATCAATTTATTCTGTAGCACCAATAATTTTTTTTCCATTTTGCTATGTACATTTAACAGCTTAAATGCTCATATTTTATATCTACCTTGGTTCTAACCTGAGACGCATCACTAGCTGTTATTAAAAAAAAAATGAATTTTAACGATGGACGCAGTAAATTACTAAGTTTTAATTACTAAACATTTAATATGTAAATTTAGAAAAGTTTATTCGGTTATTTTATCAGATAATGGGGGATGTGAGAAGAAATGCTCTTCAATGTACACTTCATTTGATTGCAGGGGAACATTAAGTTAAATTATGTTTAAGCTGTTGAAACATATACTGGTTTATAAACAAAACTTCTTCCATTATATTGACTAAAATTCAGTTGGTCGCTACGGAATAATTGCATTTTCTGCTAGCAAATTGTGTGAGGTCGATGTGTTGATTGATGTATATTTCTTTTTTTATGTGACAAATCTTAGTCTGTAATATCATGAATATTTGGTGCTTATCACAAATTGAGGTATTTCTCAAAGAAAAAAGTCATTGAATTTAGCAAAAAAATCTCGATATTACATATTGTTTATTCATATCGTTAATGAAATGCGACGAATTTTTAGCAAAAAGTGACTTTCCGAATAATTGAAAGGAGGCCTTAAAAAAAATGTTGGTAAAACTTGATATTTTTGGTTTATTGGGATCTTTATCTAAAAAATGCACTTTTTGCTAACAAAATTGTATTTCAGAACAATAATCCTTAGTAATAGTAAATAAAGATTTATCTCTATCATGTCTAGACAATAAAATTGAAGAAATGTTTAGACGACATTCCAAAAAGCACAATAAACAGCGAACATCGTCGTTTTGCTATAAAAACGTTTGCATAAATTATAAATGCTCGCCTAAAAATATGCTACAATACTGTTGAGCTGTTGAAATTTTATAGCAAAATTGCGATTTTCGCTGGGAAATTAAATAACACTGTACTGTAACTGTTGTAAAGTGAATCTTAATAATTTATTAAGTTTAGAAGAGCATACTTAACTAATAAAAGATATATTAGTAAATAAGTAAAATCCCCGTCAGTGTGGCGTCAGGTCGCTGTTTTAAAACGGAAAATTTTAAAATAGAAAAGTATCATCCGAAAATTTTGTTATGAAAATCAAAAATCTTTATTTGATGTTTTTACTGGTTTCAAAAAAATACGTTTGTGGTATTTAGAAATGTATCCAAAATGTTTTATGTCATAAAATTTCATCTCACTCTCATTAACATTTTTAAATTATATATGTAATTTCGCAATGAGTTTAAGAAAGTTTCAATGGGAATATGTGCACAAAAGAGAGAGCGCTGTCAGCGAGCATTGGTATGACTAACTTCTGTTCTCCCCACTACATACATCAGACAAATTTATGTGTGACGGTCGACAGTTGTCTCTGCTTGATATGTGCATGTTCCTATTACACCTTCAACTTATTGTAAGGGATATTTTCCGTGTTAAAAATTCCGTATCTATACATACTACCAATAATTATTTTACCATTTTAATGGTGTAGGAATTTGTCTTTCAACTGTCTAAAAACTTATTCCATTCCTTCCCGTTTCTTGTTATCACTTTTTCTTCTTTCCGCTCTTTGTTCTGTACTATTTTTACTATTTCATTATTCTATATTCGTCTAGGCTTTCCCTGTCTTCTATTTTTCTGTGTTCTTACTTCCCATATTCTTACTGGTTTTGATCTGTTCATCATAGTCATTAAATGTCCTCACCATTCAAATTGTCTCTGATCAATAAATTGTAGAGTCGAATATATTTCTAGATATTTTATCCATCTTTCATTTTGTCTATTTTAGTGCCCCCTCGTAGTCTCCCACCTGAGGAACTTCATCTCTGTAAGCACCATAATACTTTGTTTTTATAAATGATAAAGGGTATCAAACTGTTCAAATGCCGTCTTAAATTGATAATGATACACAAAATTATTCTTTTTTCTAAGTAACTAAATGGTAATCGGTTTTGGCCCTGCTATCATCAGGCAAACCAGGAACAATTGACTGGTTTATAAGTAAATGAGAAGAAACCTCTCAACGAACTAACAAAAAATGTTATCATTTTCTTATTAGTTCCTTTGGGAAGCTTCGCAACTTCAGAAATGTTTCTCTTTCCACTCATTGCAGTGCTTCAAGCAAAATAGTTTTTAATTGGTCAGCTCTCTCTGAATGTTGTCAATTCAACTTAGGAACAAAAAATATCACAGGCTTCTTTCGCTTCTTCAAATCCTTTGTTAAGTTGTTATGGATCTTGGCAATATTCAAATTTGACTCGCTAATCATGATTTTTATTTTTATTGTTCCCAACTCTCTAAAAAGTCTTGTGCCAACGAAAATTATTTATACATTTGAACTTGGTGGCTTTCCATCCTTCGTAATTTTATGAGCATGTTTAACTTCAGAAACGGAGTTTCGTCTAGTCCTAAAATATGTAGTTCTTTAATTAAATTACTTTTTTGTACCTTTTCAAATGAATATGTAACCATCTTTTTAAAGCCCAAAGCTAGAAATCTGAGTTGTTTCTTGACTTTCCAAAACCAAACTAGCAGTCGCTTTCAGTAGAATTTTAAATTACTATATTCATTGGAATATTTAGATATTTTTTTTGAGTTTGTCATGTCTATTGCAGATAGTTGTTTCTAACGAGAGGGATGGAATTTTATGGTGAAATAATTATGTTGGCCACACCAATGAGACATCCCAATTTTTATTATCATTTCAGTATCTACCCTGTAAGAAAATCAAATTTCGATATAATTTTTCTGAAATTAATTAATTACGCTTATTTTATGCCTATAACGGTGATATTTTATCAAATGATTGATCTCGAATTATCTCATGCCGAATTGATCGAATCTTTTTAAATACTATCATTTTTCTTGATTTGTGAATGATCACGTTTTCCATGATCTTTGCGACCCGATCGCGCGACTGCTACGGGGTAGGTGGAAAAAAACGGAAAAGTGTAATTAGTTTTTAAGAAAAAACATTTAATCTGAGCCGGGAGAACCTTGTTGGGTATAATTGATAGCTGCGAAAATACATAAACGTATCGTAAACATATTAGGTAGTAAGTGATAAATATCTCGCGTCTTTCTTGGT